TGTCAAACAAATCTGATTTCTTTTTACGAGGAGGTGAGCAAAACCTTGGACAGAGGGGTGGCTGTGGGCATGGTATACTTGGACAGAAGGGTGGCTGTGGACGTGGTATACTTGGACAGAGGGGTGGCTGTGGATGTGGTATACATGGACAGAGGGGTGGCTGTGGACGTGGTATACTTGGACAGAGGAGTGGCTGTGGACGTGGTATACTTGGACAGAGGAGTGGCTGTGGACGTAGTATACTTGGACAGAGGGGTGGCGGTGGACGTGGTATACTTGGACAGAGGAATGGCTGTGGACGTGGTATACTTGGACAGAGGAGTGGCTGTGGACGTAGAATACTTGGACAGAGGGGTGGTGGTGGATGTGGTATACTTAGAGGGGTAGTGGTGGACGTGGTATACTTGGACAGAGGGGTGGTTGTGGACGTGGTATACTTGGACAGAGGGGTGGCTGTGGACATGGTATACTTGGACAGAGGGGTGGCGGTGGACGTGGTATACTTAGACAGAGGGGTAGTGGTGGATGTGGTATACTTGGATAGAGGGGTGGCTGTGGACGTGGAATACTTAGACAGAGGGGTGGCTGTGGACATGGTATACTTGGACAGAGGGGTGGCGGTGGACGTGGTATACTTGGGCAGAGGGAGGATGGTGGACGTGGTATACTTGGACAGAGGGGTGGCTGTGGATGTGTTATACTTAGACAGAGGGGTGGCGGTGGACGTGGTATACTTGGACAGAGGGGTGGCAGTGGACGTGGTATACTTGGACAGAGGGGTGGCTGTGGACATGCTATACTTGGACAGAAGGGTGGCTGTGGACGTGGTATACTTGGACAGAGGGGTGGCTGTGGATGTGGTACACTTAGACAGATGGGTAGTGGTGGACATGGTATACTTAGACAGAAGGGTGGCGGTGGACATGGTATACTTGGACAGAGGGGTGGCGGTGGACGTGGTATACTTGGACAGAGGGGTGGCTGTGGACATGGTATACTTGGACAGAGGGGTGGTGGTGGACGTGGTATACTTGGACAGAGGGGTGGCTGTGGACATGGTATACTTGGACAGAGGGGTGGCGTGGCGGTGGACGTGGTATACTTGGACAGAGGGGTGGCTGTGGACGTGGTATACTTAGACAGAGGGGTAGTGGTGGATGTGGTATATTTGGACAGAGGGGTAGTGGTGGACGTGGTATACTTGGACAGAGGGGTGGCTGTGGACGTGGTATACTTAGACAGAGGGGTAGTGGTGGATGTGGTATACTTGGATAGAGGGGTGGCTGTGGACGTGGAATACTTAGACAGAGGGGTGGCTGTGGACATGGTATACTTGGACAGAGGGGTGGCGGTGGACGTGGTATACTTGGGCAGAGGGAGGATGGTGGACGTGGTATACTTGGACAGAGGGGTGGCTGTGGATGTGTTATACTTAGACAGAGGGGTGGCGGTGGACGTGGTATACTTGGACAGAGGGGTGGCAGTGGACGTGGTATACTTGGACAGAGGGGTGGCTGTGGACATGCTATACTTGGACAGAAGGGTGGCTGTGGACGTGGTATACTTGGACAGAGGGGTGGCTGTGGATGTGGTACACTTAGACAGATGGGTAGTGGTGGACATGGTATACTTAGACAGAAGGGTGGCGGTGGACATGGTATACTTGGACAGAGGGGTGGCGGTGGACGTGGTATACTTGGACAGAGGGGTGGCTGTGGACATGGTATACTTGGACAGAGGGGTGGTGGTGGACGTGGTATACTTGGACAGAGGGGTGGCTGTGGACATGGTATACTTGGACAGAGGGGTGGCGGTGGACGTGGTATACTTGGACAGAGGGGTGGCTGTGGACGTGGTATACTTAGACAGAGGGGTAGTGGTGGATGTGGTATATTTGGACAGAGGGGTAGTGGTGGACGTGGTATACTTGGACAGAGGGGTGGCTGTGGACGTGGTATACTTAGACAGAGGGGTAGTGGTGGACGTGGTATACTTGGACAGAGGGGTGTCTGTGGCTATTGTATATTTGGAGTTTGACACAGTTCCCCACACACATCTAATGTGTAAGTTAACCCCTCGCCCTCCAGAGCATTTTTTGTGATACGGAGTTGAGTTACTTTAACTGACAATTATGCGGTCATACAACGCTGCACCCAAATTAAATTTATGTCCTTTTTTCCCATATATTGAGCTTTCTTTTGTTGGCATTTGACCACCTCTGAGGTTTTTTATTTTTCTGCGCTATAAACAAAAAATGACCGGCAATTTTGAAAAAAAATATATAAATTTTTGACTTTTTGCTATAAAACATAAAAAAAAAAACTTTAAAAGAATCAAATTTCTTCATAAATTTAGGCCAAAACTTATTTTTCTTTTTTATACTAGTAATGGCAGTGATCAGCGACTTATAGCGGGACTGCGGGTATGCGGCGGGCATTCTGACATTGACCGACTGCCACTGACATCCCAATGACACCAATACAGTGATCAGTGCTAATAAAAAGCACTGACACCGTACTAATGGCACTGGGGAGGAAGGGCTTAACATCTGGGGAGATCAAAGGGTTAACTGTGTGTGTTTTACTAGGGAGACATGCTGTGCAGAGAGATACAAAGCAGCATGTCCTTGCTGACAGGAGAGAGATCTGTGTTGTATACACTCAGGTCTCTCTCCTGTCAGCTTTACCCAGCGATCACCGAGTGCTGGACCCAGAGATTGACATCCCTGGCCGCCAATAGCGGCGTAGTTAGGGCGGCCCCCTACCCAGAAATACAAATCACATATATATACATGATTTTGCACAGCCCTGCTGCCCTGTAGCGGTACTTCTGCTTCTATCTCTCCTTCTATCTATCTATCTATCTATTATCTATCTATCATCTATCTATCATCTATTATCTATCTATCTATCTATCTATCTATCTATCTATCTATCTATCTATCATCTATTATCTATCTATCTATTATCTATCTATCTATTATCTATCTATCTATCTATCTATCTATCTATCTATCTATTATCTATCTATCTATCTATCTATCTATCTATCTATCTATCTATCTATCTATCTATCTATCATCTATCTATCATCTATTATCTATCTATCTATTATCTATCTATCTATTTATCTATCTATCTATCTATCTATCTATCTATCTATCTATCTATCTATCTATTATCTATCTATCTATCTATCTATTATCTATCTATCTATCTATCTATCTATCTATTATCTATCTATCTATCTATCTATCTATCTATCTATTTATCTATCTATCTATCTATCTATCTATCTATCTATCTATCTATCTCTCTATCTATCTATCTATCTATATATCTATCTATCTATCTATCTATCTATCTATCTATCTATCTATCTATCTATCTATCTATCTATCTATCTATCTATCTATCTATCTATCTATCTATCTATCTATTATCTATCTATCTATCTATCTATCTATCTATCTATCTATTATCTATCTATCTATCTATCTATCTATTTATCTATCTATCTATCTATCTATTTATCTATCTATCTATCTATCTATCTATCTATCTATCTATCTATCTATCTATCTCTCTATCTATCTATCTATTATATATCTATCTATCTATTATCTATCTATCTATCTATCTATCTATCTATCTATCTATCTATCTATCTCTGGCGTATTGCATGTATGTACCCTCATATATTTAGGGGTTATTAATATTATTTCTTGACTATCATAGCTCAGACCAGTCCCCCTGGTTGGGATCTTCTCGATAACTGCAGACACTGAGTACAGCTGGCTGAAATATCTGCTTCGAAATAAATTTAGAAATGTCAAATCCTTCCACATCTCCTTTGCTGGGTTTCATCAGTTCCTGAATGATTTGTCTCAGTGCTCACATGGAATCCTGTATCACACCAAGAACAGAGGAGACGAATCAATGTGACCGATGTCACTGACTCCCTGTATGACAGACATCTGGAATCTATGTCTGCTACACTTGGTATGTATATATACGATCAATATTAATTACAATGCTAGGGGAAAGCAGCGCTAAAGATTTATGAAGTTTTAGAAATTTGTTCTGGCAGCAATTTGGCCATTATAGGTCAATAAGGTTGTTCATCTAATTCCATTTTAGCCTCCATGATCAATTAAATACTCTAACACACATTTTTTAATTGCAGTCATGACCTGCTGAGTAATGGTGGTATACTTAGGGTGTAAATGACCTACTCCCATGCATAGAAACTCTCAGCATCAATCAAATCTTCTTTACCCGCATTTTGCACCTTCTCCTCTTCCGTGATCAATACCAGCCTGATGCTACTAGAATACACTACCTGCCAACAGTTTGAGAACACCCTCATTTGTCCAGTTTTTATTGAAATTTATGCAGTTTAAACCCCAGTCACACCAAAGCAGATTTTGAAATAGTGTGACTTGCAGTGAAGTCGCTCAATTTCAAAGTCGGATGACATGATGTTTTCAGGAGCGGTTTGCAAGACATCGGACACATATGTCTATGCAAATCATACCAAAAGTATTGCATGTAGTACTTTAGAAATCAGTGCGGCTCCGACCAAGTCAGAACCGCCAATTCACGTCCAGTGTGACCGGGGGCTTAAAGTGTTACTAAACCTACAACAGTACAATCAGTCTGTAGATGCAGTGAAGCATGCTGGTTATACTCACTGTGGAACCTAAGGGGTTAATCCTCAGCATTTTTTAAAAAGGCTGTTTGATCCTGTCTTCTCTGCTTCTCCTCTTGTTCAAATGTCCACGCTGATAAGACAGACTGAACTCGTAGCACTTCTGCACATGCTCAGCACTGTCCAGGCAGAGGTCAGGCATTCTGCATCCTCCTAGAGCAGAAAGAAAACTCCTCCTACAAGCTTTAACCAGTGCCTGCTGGACACTGATAGAAGTCACAAGACTGCTATACACTGCTGATGAGAAAAGGGATTTAGCAGTTTATATTTACTAAAATAATTGCATTTCCATTTTGAGTGTACTGTGTGAGACGAGATATAGTGAATGCAGGGTCTGGGGAGAGCGGATATAGTGAAAGCGGGGTCTGGGGAGAGCGGATATAGTGAATGCGGGTCCGGGAGAGCGGATATAGTGAATGCAGGGTCCGGGGAGAGCGGATATAGTGAATGTAGGGTCCGGGGAGAGCGGATATAGTGAATGCAGGGTCTGTGGAGAGTGGATATAGTGAATGTGGGGTCTGGGGAGAGCGGATATAGTGGAATAGCAGGGTCTGTGGAGAGCGGATATAGTGAATGCAGGGTCCGGGGCGGATATAGTGAATGTGGGGTCCGAGCAGATATAGTGAATGCGGGGTCCGGGGAGTGGCGGATATAGTGAATGCGGGGGGTCCGGGGAGAGCAGATATAGTGAATGCCGGGGAGAGCGGATTCGGGGTCCGAGAGCAGATATAGTGAATGCGGGGTCCGGGGGGAGAACGGAGAGCAGATATAGTGAATGCGGGGTCCGGGGAGTGCGTATATAGTGAATGCAGGTCTGGGGAGAGCGGAGATAATAGTGAATGCAGGGTCCGGGGAGAGCGGATATAGTGAATGCAGGGTATAGTGAATGCGGGTCCAGGGAGAGCGGATATAGTGAATGCAGGGTCCGGGGAGAGCGGGGTCCATATAGTGAATGCGGGGTCGGGGAGAGCGGATATAGTGAATGCAGGGTCCAGGGAGAGCGGATATAGTGAATGCGGGGTCCGGGGAGAGCGGATATAGTGAATGCAGGGTCCGGGGAGAGCGGATATAGTTAGTGCAGGGTCCGGGGAGAGCGGAGGGGGATCCATAGTGCGGATATAGTGATGCAGGGTCCGGGGAGAAGCGGATATAGTGAATGCAGAGCAGATATAGGGAATGCGGATATAGTGAATGCGGGGTCCTGGGAGAGCGGATATAGTGAATGCAGGGTCCGGGGAGAGCGGATACAGTGATAGTTATGCGGGGTCCGGGGAGAGGGGATATAGTTGCAGGTCCAGGGAGAACGGATATAGTCAGGGTCCGGGGAGAGCGGATATAGTGAATGCGGGTTCCGGGGAGAGCGGATATAGTCGGGGTCCGGGGAGAGCGTATATAGTGAATGCGGGGTCCGGGGAGAGTGGATATAAATGAATGCAGGGTCCGGGGAGAGAGCGGATATAATGAATGCGGGGTAATGCAGTAGTCATTATTAGTTGTAATTACTTGTTTAACCCCTCGCCCTCCAGAGGATTTCCCCACCTTCCTGACCAGGCCATTTTTTGTGATACTGTGCTGTGTTAGTTTAACTGACAATTGCGCGGTCATGCAACACTGCACCCAAATGAAAGTTATGACCTTTTTTTCCCACAAATTGAACTTTCTTTCGGTGGTATTTGATCGCATTTTTTTGGCATTTGACGTTTTTTTTCTTTAGCCAGTAAACTCCCCCGCATGTTATTCTCTGTGTCCACGCACACTTAGGTTTTAATCAGCATTTTTGGCAGGGGCCTTTTTTGGCTGGAAGCAAAACCCAGAACTAGTGAGTTTGTAGAGGAGTTTTTTAGCAGTAAAAATGCTCTAACGCTTAAAAAATGCGGAAAATGTGGCAAACCAACGTTTTAATTAATAATAATTTTCTTGTAAAAAACCGCAAACATGGAAAAAAAAAGTTAAACGCTAATGCAAAACAATAAAAACTGATGAAAAACGTGCGTTTTTAACATGACTTTACACAGCTAACGCGCAGTGTGCATAGAGCCTTAGTCTGGTTGAAAAAAGACACAAGTTCATCTAGTTCAACCCAGCCCAGTTAGAGTTCTCCAATCAGCAGGCAGTGAGGTTTGCTGATTGGAGAGCTCTAGCTCTAACTTAGCTGGGATCTCTGCAGAGAGATCACTGCTTCCTCAAGGTTCCATCTCTGCAGCATTCTGGCAAGGAACATGGCTTTTGTTTTCAGGCTGTGGCTGGTTTGTAAGGAAAGCAAACTTTCACCCTAGGTTCACACCTAAGCTTTTTCTGCAGCGTTTTTCGGAAACGCATGACAGTCCATTTAACATGATTTCTTATGGGACATGTTCTTCACATGTGAGCGTTTTCACCAGGTGCTTTTTTTGGAAAGGGTCAAGGACTTTTTTTAACGCAAAAAGTTGCGTTTTTGGTTCTATAGACGTCAGTGGAAATGCTGTAGGAAAGCATGTATTGCCTTTTTGCTGCGTCTTTGCTACATTTTTGACGCATTGTTTATGCTTTTTATTATGTTTTATGTTTTAAATCTGCCTAGCAACAAGAAAAAAAAATAGAAAAAAAAAAACAGAGCAAAAACACAAGACGCAAGGCAGCCTGCATAGGTGTGAGCCTAGCCTTAGACTTTGAATACCTTTTGCTTTTATTCACCTGGAATGTATTGACCACATTTCTATTAAATGTTCATTTGGAGTTTAACTCAATGAATACTCAAATGTAGCAAATTATTTCTTGACTCAGGTAAACCAAAATTCGATTTTGGCCATGGGGGGAATATACCAGGAGCCAATTTTGGAATATATACTGTCCAGTATCTCAGAAGGTTGCAGCTTGCTGTCAATGACACTAATTCCAATTATTATACAGGAAAGAATCGTGTGATCGTGGTTCTGGACGACTTGGAAGACAACAGCGATGAGGTGAAAAGGACCATACTGCGGGAGCAGCCCAAAATATATAAACTGGCACGAGATCTCTTCCTGGTGAAGCAAGGAACAAACCAGCAGAAAATGTTTTATTTTGAACATAAGAGAAAACCAGACTTTTCATAAATGTGATACAAGTTATATGTTATTAGGACCACAATTAAAAATTAAAAAAAAAAAAAACTATTAGGTAAATGAGAAGTACTGCATATGAATTTTAATAGCAATACAGCAGGAGGAGCACACATTTCGTCTTGTGGGACATAGAGACATGTGGATTATGCAGCTGTCTTCAGGAGGTAGAAACTGGCAAACAAAAAAATTGTCAAAGGCTCACCCCTGTATAACTCCGCCCCTAACCATCGAGCTTCAGTTTTTTGCTAATATCCTTTAAGGCCAGTTCACACTCCATGCTTTTAGTTGCGCTTTTTTCTGCATAAAAAAAATGCTCAGAAAGTAAGTTATATGGTTGTCAGTGTCATAGTTTACATCAGCGCTTGCATTTCCAGTGCGTTCCAGGTTGCAGAAAAAGAAAATAGAACAGGCTGCATTTTTTCTGCACATAACTGTACTGGAACGCGGTAAAACACATCAAAACACACTGGAATGTATCAAAAACACACCGGAACATGCCAAAAATGTGCCTGCAAATACGCATCTGGAACATATCTGGACTGCGTTTCTATAGTGTGAACCGGGTCCTTAGGACTAGTTCACATTAGATGCAGTCCAGTACGTTTTTTTACTGCATCAAAAATACAGGCAGAGTGTTTTCCATGTATTCCAATTGGCCTGGCTCACATCAGTCCAGTCAGTGGCAGTCAGTTTCCAGTGCAGAAAAGAAAGTAGAACATGCTGCATTTTTGCTGCACAGAACCGTACTGGAAACATAGCAAACTGCATCAAAAACTGCACCGGAACTGTTTGTGGTGGGAACTAAGAGCAAAAACGTATTCAGAGTGCATCTGGAGTGGGTTTTTGTGGTGAAACCTGGCCCTTAAGGTTGTGTGCCTTTATCTTACTGCTGGTACATTTGCTTACTTTATTCTTCCCATTTGTGGATGTTTTTTTTCTCTTCAATCAAGATACATATTATGCCGCTTGAGCTAGTCTCTCTAAAGCAGCTATCTGGATTGGTTCATTTTTGGCACTGCTTCAAAGGTTATACCTGGATCCTGCTGGATTGATGAGCCCAATCCTGCCTGTAATGTGACCCTTGGGCACTGGGCTCTAGTTGTAGTGCTTCCAAATATCTAATGTACTGGTTTGTTAGCCGAAAAGTGTTTTTACACATCCAGAGTTGTGTCACAGCCTCTGCTGTGTTCAGTCTCTGAAGACTCCCTAAGGAGTCTGCCCGAGGACAGGGTGAATTTTGACTATAGTGAGCTTTGAGGACTGGACTCTCCATGTGGTACTTTCCCAGTCATCTGGTTCTGAATCTGTTATTTGCACAGAGCAGTGGTACAGCATTCTGGTGTTCTCCAGCCTCTATTTAGATAACTATGTAATTATACCTTGATAATAATGCACCTGCAGTATATGTGGCAATCATATACCGATGTGTAGTTTGTGATGAGTACTATGCTCTGCAAGGGGCACTCCCAGTCCCTTGGGGTCTTGAGGTACCTACAAACATTAGAAGTAAGGTGGCTGCCCTGTAGTTTCACAGTACAGTTATATGAAAATGTAAATGTTTGGATCATCTCTAGTCGCATATATTTCCAAGTGTATGATTAAAGCATTCTGTTTTTCAATTTTCCCTATTGGAATGATATGGAGTTGTGTGAGATTTTCTTACAGCAGTTGGAATTCTATGATTAGTTCGTTTTTCAAAATTACATCCTCGGTCCTAACGCAACCTTTCAGGAAAGCCATAAACACAGAAGACATGATCTCCCATGTCTGTAGGCTACGTGTTTTGCAGTTTGGTTTTGATCAATTGAGATGCATGAGCTAGCTTTGTAAAATGGTCTGTAACTACTAACACATCCCACTTTCATTTGTATTATTTTTTGCTGACCAAAAAGTCAATCCATACACGTTCTACCGGGTAAGAGTTACAATCTGTCAGAAAATTGCTACTTGTCTTTTTAGTCACTTTAAAAAACTCAGTACGCATGGAATAAAAGCAATGTTACTTTATTAACATATCACATCGAAAAACATATCTTTTGTGTATTTAACATTGCATTGCACACTAAATCACAGCATGTTTCTCCCCATCAACCAGAAACATTGTAGGTTGTTCCAATGGATGTTTCCGTAGAGATGGTAGACACAATCCACTTCCTCCAAAAGGAGTGAATATCCAAGCTGTGTAAAAGCCCAACATGTATTGCGACTTGAATCACTTCTTCAGGGGCTAACAATGCATCTAAAAAATGAAAAAACTTTAACAGTAATAATTGTAAAATTAAACAGTAAATGCAAATACAACATGGGTACCGCCTATCAGTCACTTACATGAAGGTAAACAGTTTCTGTATTGTATGATGGAGGACTCCTCAATGCAGCAAACAGGTCCCCCCCCCCAGCCGACCAGAGCCGGAGCCTCCAACAACAGGTGTGGGGGCACATCATTAGGCAATGAGCAAACAGAGACACCCCCAATTAGTCTAGCACCTGCGATGGTCAGTCCAAACTCCTTTGTCCAACTTAAGAAGTTACAATAGATTCAAGAGGCACCTTCCCTTCTGTCTCTGGAATTTAACTCGT